ACTAAATTTAAACTAGTAGACATATCTTTATAACAAGACTGGTGCCACATGATAAAGTAGACAACATAACACAATCATCTCCTTTATGTAACTGCATATAATTATAAATTAGAAAAGGTAAAGAAAATAATCTTTCAGGTCTGAGAATTAGTGCGGTCAGTGACTTATTTTCTCAGAAGAGTGAGGTAACCATCACAAGAGGGTTCTGCATCTGACATGATGAACCACCTCCAAGTTTTAAAAAGACAAAAACTTTTTTACTACTAGAGTGTAAGTGGGAAGTGATTCTGACAAACGCAATTTGATTTACATCCATTCCCCCTGACACCACCACTACATTAAAACTGACAAAATGGAAAAAAACACAAATTAAAAATTTAATGACAATATTTTTTATATACCTGTATCGATAGACAAAACAATGCATCACTTAAATAATAAAAAATTCTATTTAAAAAATTATTTGAACTATGACACACCCTATCAAATAATAAATTTATAAAATTTTCTACACTATAGCTTTTACACTTACAACACACACCCCCCCCCCCCCCCCATCAATTTTATAATTATTGTTCTACAATTTTACAGCCAACATTTTCAAAAACTAGTGAGTGCCAACACTCCCAGAATTAAAATCTGCAATTGAGAATGAATTTCACAATTCCACTCATTTATCTTTATACAAAGATATGTTTTTGTATGTACGCTCAAATCTTTACATGTATGCTCTCATAAGCATTTTGTTTCAAGCCAAACAAGCAACATTCAAACAAACAGTCAGAGGTGAAGCTTACATATTTTGGCTTTAAATTCTAAGCCAGAGCTGCTCTTACTAGTCAGTGTGTGGGGGGAGGGAGTTTGCTTGAGAGCAATAGCTCTTTGCCAGGCACAGAAGACTCTACTCATGCAGGGTTGTATTGGTAGTTGGGAACTTTATTCCAGCAGGGCAGTTGGTGGTTGGGCACTTCATCTGAAGATGCAGCGTGTTTGAAACTCATTATTCTGAACTCATGTGTACTGGAACATTTGCTGGCTCTGAATTTCTATATAAACTCTGCAGAAAGTGCATTTTGCCTGCAAATTAAGGAATTTATATTTTTTTAAATATATTTTGTTACAAAATTAATTGTTATTTCAGTAAGAAAAATTAAACTTGATATTTTGACGATATTTGAAAAATGTACCAGCTTGTATTAGGCTTCCAGTTTTGCATCCTCCAAGTTTCCTGCCATTTTTGCTTCAGGTACCTCAGTGCTGCTCCTTGTCTTTAGGACAGTTGATTGGTGCACTATTCATTTATTGGTATGTCATTAGGTCTTGCAGTGATTGCAAAAGTTACATAGCGCTGACCTTTATCCTTGGATCGTTTCCACATGGTCTTGGCTGCTTTAACCTCCATCAGACCAGAAGATCTAGTGATGTTGATCCTGCAGTCCTGTTTGTACATCATATCATACCACTCTTGATAGACAGCAAGGGTCTCACTTTTTTCATAGGCCTGTTGTAGAACACAGCTGGAAATAAATTGAATTTTGTATCATTAATTGATATTTATGACATCAATGACATGTTCAGCAGTTAACTCCCCTAATTTAACCATACACCAATGTAGTACACATTGGAAAGATAAAAATAAAATACTTGGAATAAATATGTTTCTAAATTTTATTTTACTTAAAAAAATATAGTTTACAATTTAATCATTTAAGAATCACAAGGAAACGGAAGTTACAATACTGCATAATCTATTGCAAATCAGAAGACAATTTTTTTCTAATTCAGATAATATAAAACAAAATACATCAAAATAGTTAGCAATTTTATAGACAGTTAAAGATGTTGAAGAAAACTAAAAATAAGAGCTTTATAGACAATATTTTTCAGATGTTTCTGGGTGTAGCCTATTATTTTGAATGAGATATTCCTATTTAGATGCAGCTTGCTCTCAATATTTGTCAACACTAAAAGTTATAGAACATTTTTTCGTGCATGATCGCATGTAAACTTTAATAATGTGTTTTTCAAAATGTCTATATAATATATGTAGATAGTTCAAAGGACATCAGGGTTTTGAAACATGCAGAGGAAGATATTTTTGATAATATTTTTAGCAAGCCACTGGCCAGATCCTTGTTTGGGTTTCACTTTTTCTTCCATAAAATAATCTGGCCTGTGATGATTCTATATCAGAAATTACATGCCACTCATTGATCACCATGCAAAAAGATTCTCAAACAAGTTCAAAGGTCATCCTTCTCTATACTTTTACTTCAAAAGAGTATGTACTTGTTTGCAAAAATATTTTCTTCCAGTAAAAGATGATCCAGTTCATAACCCAATATCAATGTAGTAACCTAGGCAACTGAGTTGACTGAAAATTCCAACTACAACACATATTGGGTTATGAAAAAGTATGATTTTTGAATATGTGTGTCAGATTGTAAGCAATTTTATCAGGCAGTGTGGTCGTGTGGTAGAGCGCACAACTGTCCATTCAAAAGTGTCGAGTTCGGATCTCAGGTTCATGTCCGTAGATCATCCCTGAGTCCACCCAGCTCTGATAATACCTGACAAGCTTTAAGGAAAGTAAAGAAGGCTGGTTATAGTGCTGACTATCCCTACATTTGTTATGGTCACAGAAACAGGTGAACTCTATTTTATCTGCACTATGGATGGCCTGGTCTGAAAGGTTACATATTTATATGTCATCTAACAGAATATGTATTGTCTTTTTCTGTATGCTTCCTTGCATTCACATCTTGCTAATGTTGTAATATCAGACACATATAGCATCAGGGGAAAAAACCAGACCTTCAGTGTACCTCGTTAATCATCCCCTGCAAGGGTAAGGTAGAACACAACTCGTTGACTGCCCAGATGTCATTGCTGGTGTTCTTGGGAGCCAGAGGCGTAGCGACCCTTCCCGGCGCCCGGGGACAAACTTTAATTTGGCGCCCCCTCAGGAGCAAATTTTCAATTTGCACCACCCCCCTCCCGTCAAACTTTCAAGTTGCACCCCTCAAACTGCAAAAATGCAGCTAAAATGATATTTTAATTTGTTTTTACAACCCACTTTGGCGCCCACTAAGGTCGGCGCCCGGGGACATATGTAACCCCCCCTCCCCCACCCCCCCATCGCTTGCCTCTGTTGGGAGCCACAGGTTACATTAGTGCAGAGGTGACAGGTGCAACTGGTTCAGTTTAGTTATTGAATGTAGTGGCCCATTTGTGTCAGTAATGCCCTTTAACACGAATGTAGGCACCTTAGTGATAGTGCTAATGAGGAGCCCAGGGTGTTCCGGGTGACCAGATCAGAGGCGTAGCGAGGGGGGGCGGGGGGGGGGGGACATATGTCCCCGGGCGCCGACCTTAGGGGGGGCGCCAAATCGAAAGTTTGAGGGGGGGTGCAAATGAAAAGTTCGAGGGGGGGTGCAAATCGAAAATTTGCTCCCGAGGGGGGCGCCAAATTGAAAGTATGTCCCCGGGCGCCGGGAAGGGTCGCTACGCCTCTGGACCAGATCTCCAGCAGATGCATCTGATTTGATTTAGTTGATGACAGTAGCCCAAGGTATCCATAGTGTATGGCACTCTATAAAACTAACAAAGGCACCATAGTGTTCATGGGAGAGTCAGGGGTGCAAACACCCACCCAATTGTGGTGGCGTCAGCATGTACACCTGGTGCTGTTTGATCTGGAAGTCTAGGTCTATAACAGTCAATATGCATGGAAACACTACACCCCTGAAGTAAAATATTGTAATATTGAATAGCTCTAGTTCTAAAATAACAATGAGGAATACAATGGTTCAAAAGTAGTAATAAGAGTTATTAAGAGGGCAAAAAATTCCAGTTATGATCATGTCTTAGGTTTGTAGACAGAGTTTCTTCCAGTTCGCCCCCCCCCCCCCCCCCCCCCCCCCCCCGAAAAATGTTTACCGCCCCCCGACCGATATGAAATTTATATAAATTATATGGAAAATATATACTTTTAACAGTGTCCGCCCCCCCCCCCCCCGAAGAAAGTTTACCGCCCCCCCCCCCCCCCCCCCCCGGGAGAAAAAAGTCTGGAAGAAACACTGTTTGTAGATCCTGTATAGATCTAGTATAAATTTATAGTTTTTTTAGTTATACTAACAGTGAGTAATGGATAACAGTTGATTACAGTAATCAGTAACTAGCTTTATAATATAAAATAAATTAAATATAGTTTTTATGGATCTAGTCATGGGAATGTCTTAGTCTTATAATATAATTATTAGTTCATTACACTTACAATAACAGTATTAACAGTAATTTTACTAATTTAGTAGGCCTAATCATGGATAGGATACTAAATAATTTATGTTAATATGCGTATATTATGCGGTATATTTTAGATCAAAATCTAGATGTTACTAGTAGTCTCTAGATCTAGATCTAGTCTAGATCTCGAGTCTAGTTAGTAGCTAAGAACGTAGAGATCTATCGATTGCTTTTGTCTATAAACTTAGTTGCTTGTTTGTTGTGGGGGAGGGGGGGGGAGGCTTCTTGTTTGTTCAATTGTACATTATTACAGGCTTATACAATTGGACCTTGCTTGACATCTGTAATTTCCCTTTTCTTACGGAAAATCATTATGGATAGATTAAACAAAATTCTTGACTTTGCCCTAGCTAGATCTAGATTCTAGACCTAGATTCTATCTACTATCTAGAGATCTTGATTAGATCTTGTTCTTTACGCTAGAGTGGAACCCAGAATCGTTTGCATAGTCTCCCCTCAATGGTTAATGCGTCATAAGTAATTCAGGTCATAGGTCAAAGCTTGATTTATTTTCACATATATTGTGGCTTTGAATGATACATTTATTAAAATATCAATTAATAAAACAGAATACAGCAAATTTTATTTTACAATTTGTTAACTTTATGACATTATCTTTCTGTCTATACACTATCCATGGTATTTAAAATAAATAAATTGCATATTTCTTTAAAAATAGTTCAAAGTTAGCACGTACCAATAGCTTTATTTTTCAGAAGTATGGCGGAAAGGTAATATTTTGTAGACTGCTTTGGGTGATTTAGTCGAGTATTTTGATATCTGAATTCATTTTAATTTTTATATAAACACCCAGTTTATATTTTTAACTATCACGTGTTCAAAATAATGACTATTAGTCAGTTTTTACTTGTTAGGAACTAGTCAATAATGCCTCGCGAAATAGCGTTGTCTAATCACTTATCATCATCAGTTAGTTCAAGAAAAGAGACAGAGCGGGACGTCTTTTTAGTTAGTTTTTAACTTTTTAGTCTTCTTGTCTAGTTTTAGTTTCACCAGCTTCAGATGTTTAGATATCTACTAGATTCGTTCTATCTAGTCTTAACTTTTTAAAGATTGTAATTTAAGTGGTTAGTAGATCTAGATCTAATTTAAAAACCAACTGCTTGGTTCTACAAATGTCACCCATTCTACTCTAACAGGCTAACTCTAGATTAAAAATTGTAAAATTTAGCTTAGCTTACCAACCCAATTTTCATTTATTAGATATCTAGGCTAATTATTAGGCCTATTATTTTTTTTATCAGATACATAGGCCTGGTCTATAAATTGTCAAGAAGCTACCTGCTACTGTCAATAAAAGCTGCAAACTGCCCAACATAACTAACACTAGTTTTTCTCGCTAAATCTAAAATTTCAACTCCATTTTCAATTTAAACATGACCACTGAATAATAAACAACACCCATATTTAATCCATTAGGCACTAATTTTTGAGGTTTTTAGTTAGCTTTAAACTAAATTACTTGATTTAATATTTGTCACTCACAGCTGGGGCACAACACACCCTTCCATAACAACAAGTTATATCACTCTTACGTTTGAGGCCACGGCAAACCACAAATCGGTTCGACTTTTTAATTGGCTATGCACCGAGTTCCTCACTAGTAATGAACCAAATAGCTGTCATGTTTTTTAAAAAATTGTGGTTGTCATTCATATGTAGACTGTCTTATAAAAAAAAAGTGCATGCAATAGGCCTATTTGATTTATTTTTTCATAGTCTACAACCTCCAATTCATTTTTGTACTCCCCAGGTTGATATTTTCTAAGTTCTATTATTTTTTATGACACTAACTTTTTAAATTTAGCCTTCATTCTCCAAAGCAAATTTTAAAATGCTTTTCTGACATATTTAGCCCTGCAGCCTATAGCTTGTTTTTATATCATGAAAACCCGCCATTTTGCTCCTGGTAAACATTTTAAAAAGTAATTCTAAGAAGGTCACTGGAACTAAGACAAAAAATTGTCGGAAATCATGCATCCGGTCTGGACGTCGGTCTGGACGTCGTATTGTTGTTGGCAACCAGCCATACTACTAATATTTGCAAAGGCATTACATACTACACTCACTAAAAATACCAGCCAATTCCCAGCATTTCAGTGAGATAAAAACATTTTAAAACATGCATATTTTTAACACCTCAAAGGTTCATCTTGTGTGTTAGTTTGGTTTTTTTATCAATAAACAGAAAAATAATTGATTTATTTCTTTTACCATATGTTTCAACCATTTTACTGGATTTTGTATAAGCTACAAATTGAAGACAATCTTACTTACAAACAATGTTGAAAAATTATTAACCTCAAATTAAAACAAAAAAAATATTTTTATCAGAATGGTAAATCAGAAAGATGATAAAAACACATTGCACGGTAATTTAAAAATCTATAATTTCTGCAGAGTTTAATGTGTAGTCCAAAATACCTTTTAAATTTTTTTACAAGCTTTTATTTAGTTCCCAACGTTTGATTGTGATTGTGGCAAATGTTGTAACTCAATTTTGACCCACTTCTAATGTAGCGATTTCGTTAAACTTTCTGGTGAGCTGTGGTTTATGAGAAAGTTTACAATCACGATCTAGTGAACTCTATCAGGGGCAGAAATAAAGTTTGTAAATTATTTGAAACTAAGGGGAGGTAACAAGAACTTGCAGTTGTCTGTAAAATATGGTCACGGACGGCTACTTTCACAGGCAGATAATCGTCTTTCCGATATCGTTAGCTACTGATGGTGTTTTAAAGCAAATATTTTTTATTGTGTTGAGGTCATAAATTAGGAATCACTAAATAGCAGAAAATAAAACAAATATAAAAAACCTTTATAGCAACAAGCTTCTCTTCTTCTTCATTCTTAATTTTAGTGTTGAAAGGGATCCCCTCCAACACAATTAAGTATACATGTCAACTGGTTATGTGCCATTGAGGCCATTGACTCCGATTTCAGCCTGCTTTTCTTTTTGGATTTGCTTCCATAGTATTTGTCCAACCTAGAACAAACTACAAGCAAGCAGTTGTTTGATTTTGGAGTTATCTCTCCTAGAAGAGTGGCTGTCCCCAGCTAGCGAGCCTTATCTGCTAGAGGGTTCAAATTCAAGACTTGTCAGTTTAGCAACCATGAGCTTTAACCAACTCGACCACGCCAACCCCTTAACAAGCTTTTAAATGCACTGAAAATAAGATAATAAAACTAAACTGCTTTCTTTCATAAAAGCTTTTGTTAGTAAAATATGTAAACGGTCTCATGAGTGACCAAAGTTTCTATGAAAGAAAGCTAACTTAATTTTATTAGCTTGTTGTTATAAAGTTTTTTTTTATATTTCCTGTATTCAGTAATAGCTATAGGTTACAATTTAAACTTAGGTGATTATAAATTGAAACATTGCTCATTACAAGGGTATTGGTCTGAAGTTGCAATATTTAACATAGTGTTATTTCACAGCCTTAATGAGAATACAGATAAATAGTTAATGTAAAGACTGCAACAGTATTGTTAGACAGGGTCCAAGACTACCACTCAAAATGTCACCTGTTTGCCTCACCAGAGATATGTCAATGATCTGACCTGAAAGCTTAATAAAAATAAGGGCTTTGGTCACCTATTAGTCCTGTAGGAATTTAATAATCATTACAGCTTATGAGAGTTTTCAATATAGGCCAAAGCTTTACCAACTTTTACATTTTATAATTATGATTTCGAAATTTTTAAAATTTGCCACAAAAATTCAAATTTGTAAAAAAATACTTTTCAGGTGATTAAATTTGGGAAATAAAATGCAAAGGCGTATTGAAGAAACTCAAGTTAGTAGTTTTTTTCTCTTTCTTTTTAATGTTATTGTTAGTTTAAAAAAGTTATTTTGTCTGATGTCATATGATTATACACATAAAATAACTTTTATAGCGAAGGGTGAATCCCAGTGAACAATATCCATCTCGAGTTATACCTGCTAGTGCCCAGCGCTTTGGTGATGTAAGTGATAGTGGAATAGCTACTGGAATGCCTTATGCAATACCTGGATATCAGTAAGTATATAAACTGAATTTATGTATTAAATAATTAAGTTTGTTTTCTCAGTGTGATTTTATAGATCCAATTTTTGTTTTTTTCTGATGGATAAATGAGTTTTATTTTAAAATATTAAGTAAATTGTAACTTTGCTTAATGGCTGTAAATATTTTACAATTTCACTGGCTTAATTTTAGTTTACATAGTTATGGCATGTTTTGGAATTTAAAGTTTGCATTTGCTGTGTCAGTTCAATGAGTATGAAAAAATAAAAAGTTTCTCCTTCCATTGGTTTAAATATACACTTGTTTTACTTTACAGGATAAATCAGCCTGGAGCCCATCATGGCACAGTGCCAGGCACACTAACACATGCAGTAGGCTTAGGAGCCTCTGGGCCTGTAGGTGGCGCCACGCCACAGTCACTGCACACACAGACAGGACCTGGCCATCAATCTGGTATTTCTGCCAGCCAAGTAAACCAGGTAATTTCTTTTAATCTAACAAGTTTTAAAGCTTACATTTTTAAGTCTTCTTTCTTCTTCTTCGTTCTTAATTATTAGTTTTGAACTCGAGACTTTGTTCGAATTTATCAACCATGAACTACATTTTTAAGTGATTTCTTGGTATTTATTTTTTTAATTTTCAAAAATATATTATGAACTTATTTGAACAAAACTGCTAACCTGTGCTCATACCTTCAATTCATTTTGGAAACAATTTTGTTTTTTAGGGATAATTTTAGAAATGTTTTTTATTTTCACTACTAGTCAATGCTAGGACCACCAATGTCTGGTGGACAACAACAGCAACAGCAGCAGTGCCAGCGTCTTAAAGTAGAGGACGCCCTCTCTTATCTAGACCAGGTGAAGCTTCAGTTTGGTAATCAGCCTCAAGTTTACAATGACTTTTTGGATATTATGAAAGAATTCAAGTCACAAACGTGAGTTGTTTTTCTTTAGAATATTTGACATAACTTTTTCTTTTGTTAGAAATATTCAATTTCTTGGATAACTTCATACTGATGATTATATAAAGATGAAAGTTATTTTTCATGTATAATTGATTGTTTTTCAATTATCTGTTTTAGAAAAGGTATGTTTCTTGAACAAATACCATTTTAGGTGGAAAAAACTTTCTATTGGGATCACCTTATAAATTATCTTAAAATTGACCATTGTTTAAGTATTAAGAAATTTAAGTACATAGGGGCCTACATTGTTTATTTAATATTTTATATGGAAAAGTTTGAAAAAGTCAAAATAAAAATTATTTTTTAGCCGTGTATAAAATAATCAAGCACTTTTTTCTTTTTTTAACAGCATTGATACTCCAGGTGTCATCAATAGAGTTTCAAACCTATTCAATGGCCACCGTGACCTGATTGTAGGATTCAACACTTTCCTACCTCCTGGGTACAAGATTGAAGTCCAGTGTGAGACCATTAATGTTCATCAGCCTGGCCAACAAGTCATGTCCATTGCAGCCTTGGCCCAGTCCCAGGCAGTGTCCAGTGTAAATAGAGTGAGTGCACTTGTGAATGCTTTTTTACAAATTATTTTAGTGTTTGATGTGTATAAGTAGTGCTTTTTATGTGTATGATTGAAGAGGGAAAGGTGAGGGATTGCTTCAATAGTAAAGCACTCCTTTATTTCACATGCCCCCCCTAATTCATGGAGTTTCATTTAAATGTTGTGTGACTGTTTAGAAAAGAATTAAGTTTTGTACATGTTTATTGTGAAGTATTTAATGTTGTTTATTCCAGTTAAAATTGTTATATTTTTTATTACTAAAAGTAAATAATTCATTTTATATGATACAGATGATGTTGAGTTTCTTTAAATTTTGCTAAAGTGCCAAATGAATCAGTTGTTTCTCTTAACATTTTAAATGGCTTTTTATTAATTTGGCTTTTTAAAATTTATTAAACAAATTCTTTTATCAAAAAATGTTTGTATGCCATTACTAATAAGAGAAACACCTAATCACGGTTTATAAAGTAAAAATACAACATTGGCCATTCTATACACCAAGAAAACTAAAAAGATGATTTTTCCCCCCACCTTTCCTTCACTTCAACAGCAAAAGCAAGGAATGTCAATTTGGGATGTAGCTTTGGTAAGTATGTTTTTTATTGGATTTTTTTAAACCATTATGTTATGGCACGAGCAATTTATTTAATTATTTTGTTTGCTGGTTTGGCATTAAATGCAATGGACTCATCAAAAGTATTTTGAAGCATGAATTTCCCTTAGCTGTAGTTTTTGTTGGGAAGACAGATGATAAAAATACAAGTTTGGATTTAATTGATAACTTTTAATAGTTCACAAACTGCTTTGTGAACCTAAAATGAAACGTAAGTTTTATTAGAAATTATTTCTTGATGAAAAACAACTGCTACTTCACACTAATTAAGTAAATTATGTTACCTTTATTAATAATACTGGTTTACAAGTTTAATTCCTTTGTTATCCACTTAGTGCTCGTTTGTTTTCCAACCCTGGTTCTGTATAAACATATTTGTCATCATACTGCACTGACATGGGGTGGTTTTTTTTTTTATAGTAATCATATTAAGTATTTTCATTCATATTGTTCCATGTCATTTAATTTGCTTTTGGCTTCCTAGAATGTTGTTTTTTTTTTCCATCTAAACATTGTAAAATTGTATTTCTGTGTGTGAGTAAATATTCACATCATTAAACATTGAATGAACACGATTTAAATCTTCAGCAAAAAGTAAACCCAGTCCATCATCCAGCCCTGACAGCGCAGTCGGCTTCTCCTGCTGCTGACCATAGATCATACCACCAGTCACCAAGACCACAAGCTGAGCCAGTTGCTCCATCAGGACCAGCTATTCCTCAACAGCCACAACAACAGCAGCAGCAACAACAGCAGCAACAACAACAGCAAGGAGGACAGCCTGTAGAGTTTAACCATGCAATCAATTATGTTAATAAGATTAAGGTGTGTGCTGATTTTAAATTTTCTCTAAGTGAGGATTCCTAAAGTTTTATATTTGGTTCTTTCAAGATCCTAGTTTCTTTTTGTCAGCATAAACTTAACAATTTTTTAATCAAGTTTTTATAGTTATTTAAAAATTGTTACAGAACCGTTTCCAAGGACAACCAGACATTTACAAACAATTCCTGGAGATTTTGCACACTTATCAAAAAGAACAGAGGTTAACAAGAGATGTAAGTCTCTTTAGTTTTAAAACAATTCAATTTTAGACATTTATTTTTCAGATTTTCTGCAAAATTTACCTTAAAAATGTTGTGTAAAATTTAAAAACTCTTTATTCATGTTATTTAACAGCAAGGAGGCGCTGTTGGCCCAAGCAAGCCTTTAACAGAGAGTGAGGTGTACCAGCAAGTTGCCAATTTGTTTAAACATCAAGAAGATTTGTTAGCTGAATTTGGACAGTTTCTTCCTGATGCTAATGGAGCTTCCAACTATGGGGTTGCTTCATTTGTGAGTATATAGACCTATTTATGTTTTTAAAAGAAACATTTTGGTTATTACTAGCATCATAGTAATAAATTGAAGAGAACTATTGATGAATAATAACACTGAAATGTTATCTTTGTTTTAGGCTGATTCAGCTCTTGGAGTTCGTAACGACCACTCTTCAACTGTCAAGAAACCTGGAGGCTATCCGAGCGGGAAAACCCAGACCAACAAATCTGGAGCTGGTGTTAAGCGACCAGCTAGTGCTTCAACTGCCGCGGCTGCTTCATCTTTCCAGCCCCCAGTGAAGGTTGGTACCATGACTATAACTTTAAGGGGAGAGTATTATGCAGTTTAGATTTTGGGTTAGGTCCCTTGTTGCTATTTGGCACCTTAGATTTGCATATTTTACATCAAAGCTATTTGGGGGTTGATTTTGGTTACATTTATTTTTATACAGAAAAAAGGAGTACCCAAAGATTTCAGTTTGGCTGATGCAAGTAAAACTGGAACTCTTACAGAGTATGCTTTCTTTGACAAGGTAAGTTGCCTACTGTGTAAAATTTAAAAATTTGTAATAACTGCAGTATACATTTATATTACTGTAAATATTTTAACGTGTTTATTTAGAGCCGAGCCTGTGAAATGAAATAGAATTGAGGCTTTAGTGTTTGTTAGTTACTAAGCCTCCAAAATTATTCTGCATAAATAACTAATTCCTTCAAGAAAATACAGTTTTGATTTTTAATATCATTTATAAGGTGCGGAAAGCTTTGCGTCACCAAGAAGTTTATGACAATTTTCTGCGCTCAATTGTATTGTTCAACCATGAGATTGTTACAAAGCAGGAGCTGGTTACTCTCATCAGCTTTTTCTTATCGTAAGTCTCAGAAATTCTGTAGGTTTTTTATTATGTTGCTTAGTATAAAAAAAATTTAATTAGTTTCAGTATTATTGTAAAAATTTGAATAATTTGTTTTTCTCCAGAAAATTCCCTGATTTATTTAGAGAGTTTAAAGATTTATTAGGTGTCAATGAGCAAGGAGGAGGTGTGGAGACCGTGCCACATGGTGCAGCTCAGAAAGAGAGGATAAGTGGAGAGCTAGCTATGGAAATTGGTCAGTAGTTCACATTTTGCTCTTTTACACCCTATTTTTAAAAAAAATAAAGATGTTTAAAAAAATGTACAATTAAAACAAAAAGATAAGTAAATTTAGTAACATTTGAAGTCGAATTATTTTTGTCTTGTTTGTATTTTAAAAATGTTGTTGTTAATCAACTTATTTTATTGTTTCTGACCAGCATAAAATAATTAAATGTAAAAATTATAAAGTTATACAAATCTATTGATTTTTATTTTTTGTGTTTGTAATATGGATAATAATATTTTTACAGCTTTAAAATTTGAAATCAGAATTGGTACCAATTATCACATGCTTTCAAATGAGAATAAGTTTAACATGTACCTCAAGATTTATTTTTTTAAAATTAGAATGCCCCCAACTACAATGTTTATTTCTGAATTTCAGATTTTACTACCTGTAAAAGATATGGAGCAAGTTACAGAGGCATTCCCAGCAAATTTGTGCCCCCTAAATGTAGTGGTCGCACTTCTCTATGTAAAGAGGTAAGTTATTATCTGGATTTTAGCTTAAAATAAATGCTATTTATTAACCCTGACAATGGATTAATCCATATAGTAGTTTATGAATTCATGCTTAGGTCAATTTATTTTGTGTTGTTATTTTCTAGGTACTTAATGACACGTGGGTATCATTTCCCACTTGGTCTGAAGACTCCTCGTTTGTCACATCACGTAAAACACAGTATGAAGAAAACATTTACAAATGTGAAGATGAAAGATTTGAGGTTGGTCTGCTCAAACTACAAAAAAAAAAGATTTCCCTTTTAGAGTTTTAAACTGAAGCTTTTTTTTCCATTTGTTACATGGTTTTTTTAGAGCTATTTTACTAAAAAGAATCTATATCTCTCAAACAGCTTGATTATGTTATTGAAACCAACTTCTCTACCATCAAATCATTGGAAGCTGTACTCAAAAAGATGAACAGAATGCCTCAAGAAGAAGCTGCAAAGTTTAGACTAGACAACACCCTTGGTGGCACATCTGATTGCATTAACAGAAATTCTATTCATAGGTTAGTTCTTTTTTTTTTAAATAGTGAAATTTTGGCTGTTTTAAGAACAGATGACAGTGTAGTCAGGTTGCAGAGTAAAAATAGACTATATTTCTGCATTGAGTAGGACTTGCTGTGACTAAGCACAAGATATAATAGTTTTGTGTTGTGTATTGTTTTCATAAAGTTAATGACTATATTTTTGCTTGAACAGAATCTACGGTGACAAAGTGCAAGATATAATAGTGTTCAGTATTGTTTTTATACAATTTATGATGACAATATTTCAGTATTGATTAGAATCTATGGGTTTTTTTTTTATTGTTTTCTTACAATTAATGATGATTATACTCCTGCTTTGAACAGAATCTATGGTGACAAAGCCCAAGATATAATTGAAGGTCTGAAGAAAAACCCCGTGGTGGCTGTGCCTTTGGTGCTAAGAAGGTGAGCTATTTTTCTTATTAAATTTATTCTTTAAAACAGTGGTTCTCAACCTTTTTGAAGGTACCAAACTCCACCAGTTTCATATGCACATTCGTTGAACCCTTATTAATAGTTAAATCGTCTGCACTGACAAAGTCCACTCGTGAATCTTATGAGTCGGGTGTGTGTCTTGACTTCAGAACCCCTGAGACTGACTCACCAAACCCCTGGAGTTTGAGCGATCCAGGTTAAGAACCACTGCCTTAAAATATTCAAAACAGTCTGCTGTTTATCTTGTAAAATTCTCTGTATTTAGAAAATTTGCATCAAGTTTTATTTTTTTTAAATTAGGACTTTGTCAACTTGTAGATTGCAGTTCATTTTATGTAAGACATTTCTGATCTCCTCCCACAGCTCTAATGGGTACCTTGCCTAAATTACCGAAAATAAATCTGGCTGCCTATTGAACTAGCCATAAAATGCCATAGAAACTCAATAACTATAAAATTATTTTACTTTCTTGTTTACTTGTAAATAGAGAGCACTTTTTTGTTTATTGCAGGTTAAAGGCAAAAGATGAAGAGTGGCGAGAAGCACAGAAACAGTTCAACAAATTGTGGAAAGAACAGAATGAGAAATTCTACCTCAAGTCTCTTGACCACCAGTGTGCTAACTTCAAACAACATGATATAAAGGCCATCAGGGGGAAATCACTCCTGAACCAGATTGAGACTATATATGATGAAGTGAGTGCTCTTCTCAATTATTGAGTACTTTTCATTACATGGTTCAGTGTAACCACAGGTTTTAAGGATATTTAAGCTCTGATATGGATCATTGTGATTTCTGGGGTGAAAGGTCAAACAACACAGTATATAGTCTGCCTAACAAAGGTCTTTGGTGATGCTATTTTCAGTCACATAATCTTTTGTTTTAGCTGCTTGATAAAATGTTGTTATACATTGCTTTTTGTTTAACAATGAGTCTTTTCAACGTAATTTAAAATGCATTATAGTACTATAGCTGCTAACATATTTTGAAGCTAATACACTTGAAGCATACTTCATGCAGAGAAACCATTTCTCTTTACTCGCTGAACTACTGAACTATTTCTCATATTGTACAGAAACTGATTTTTTGTTCATTATAAATTAGAGAGCTGATAGTGAAGAGACCCCTCCACAAGGCCCTATGCTTACATTTGTTTATGAAGATCGTTCATTGATTGAAGATGCTGGCAATCTCATTATTCATCATGTTAAACGACAGACAGGTTAGAAAAAGTTTTATATAAATTTAATGAATGCTATAAAACTAAATTATAATAATTCTGTTAAAAGAAATATTGTGTAAGGAAATATTTAGGTGTAGTTTTGTTGTGTGAAATTTTCCTTCAGATTATTCTAATGACTGAAGTTTGTTATTTCCCTTGATTACCTGTAAGATATTTAAGAACAGCTTGTTTATTAATGTATTTTCTTAACCCCCAACCAGGTGTAGATAAAGAAGCCAAAAGTCGTATCAAGCAGCTTGTTAAACATTTTGTTCCTGATTTATTCTTTGCACCCAGAGGAGAACTGAGTGATGACGATGGGGATGTCAATGAGGGTATGTAAAATATTCGCATTTGTTAAAATTACCTATTGTTTACTGGGGGCCTATTTGTCACTTTGGGGAGAGAGTGGCCTAGCAGTAGCGCACTAGACTGCTAACTTGAAAGTCTTGAAAATAAAGACGGCTGGCTAAGTGCTGACCTTCATATGCCATGGTCACAGTGAACTCCACTTGCCCTATCGACCTTCAAGTTCGAAAAGGGAATTTTACTATTTGTCGCTTTTTTCAACATTAAAATACTAGGGGATATTCTTTTATGTCTTTAATTTAAAGCTTAAAAATAATGTTATCAAATGTAATTGTTTCAGAGATGGATATTGACGAGGATGAAGTAAATGTACAGCGTACATCAGAGACAAGCAAAAGGGCAAAAGATAAGGCAGCTCCTGAGGAAGATGACAACAAAAAGAAAAAAATGAATGGAATAAAGCATGAACCAGAAGAGAACAGCAAAGGTGGAAAGAAAGAGGATGATGATGATGAGAAAGCTGAGAAACCTGGAACTGAAAATGAGGATGACAATGTAAGAATGTAAAAACTTTCACTTAGCCAAATGTTAAAGTTGGTCTATATTGGTGTTCCAAGACTGACTAATGATAACATACCTGATGATCATTAATTTAAACCACTCGTTTCCAATTTACAATAGGTTGTTTGTAACTAGATAACAATTGAAGTGAATAATGTGCTTGTCCTTGTATACCATTGTTTAAAGTTTAAGCCTGTAACACTACTTGCTAAACATTTTCAAACTTTTTATTTGCTGATAAATCATTTGTTTTTTTTTTCTTTCAAAATTATTACTTCTTCCTTCCTTTAATTGCTGGCATGTAGGCCTAAATTATCAATAAGAAAAAAATTGAGTTTCTTAAAATATTTTCATATGTATATTAACTTTTATTTTTTCCTTTTCAGGACCGCTACACATTGTTTTACTGCAATTCAACTTGGTATATATTTTTACGTTTGCATCAAATTTTGTGTGCTCGTCTGCTAAAAGCCTATTCCTTGACGCAAAAATTGATCCAGGAGGAGGCAATAACAAAGAAGGAGAGAAAAGAGTCAGTAGCTTTAGCTCTGCGTTTACGATCACCATGTGAGTTCACTTGATTTTTATTTTTTCAGTTTTTGTTTTGAATATTCTAAGGGGATGATAAACCACAGCATGTTTTGTGAGATCATCATGTTATATTTGGAGCAAAAAGTGTTTGAGCTTTAGCTAGTTTGCTAGATATCTGTAATTGTTTGAAAATTAACATTTAAAATTAACTAACACTAAATCAAATTAAAAAAAATTTTTAAATAAATAGCTGATTCTGGGTGAGTTGGCAAAATATAATTGAGATAAAAGTATGTTTAAGAAAAGGTTATTTCCCTTGGTCGAAATTTCAGTGTGGGCACAAGAAAACATTTAGTTGCTGAATATTGTAATCTTTTTTTTTTAAATATTTTTATTTATTGAGAAGTACATTTGGAAATTTGCATGTCTTTTTTTTTTCAGTGGAAGTTGAAGTGGAAGATTATTATTCCTACTTCCTTGAAATGATTCGAGCTGTCTTAGATGGTAACATGGAGTCCAGCCAGTATGAAGATACCATGAGAGAGATGTTTGGCATAGAGGCATATCAGTTGTTTACTATGGACAAAGTTGTACAGAATATTGTTAGACAGGTACTGTTCATTGTCTTTATTATTTTTCAGTCTTACAGTGCTTGTTTTGTTGTTAACCTCTGTCAGTTTTAGTATGCCATTTTTTTTTCTTCTTGTGTTTGTAGTTTGTCTTTTTGTTAGTGTGCTGTCTTCATGTTTGTGGACGGCAGCGTCTGATATTAGAGTGCACGACTGCTAACCCATATGTCTTAAGTTCGGATCCCTGGCTTGGGTGGTATGTAGGATGTCCCTGAGCCTACCCAGCTCTGATGTGTACCTGACTCATGTTAGGGAAAGTAAAGGAGGTTGAGCAATAGAACTGACCACACTATCCCTTTATATGTCGATGTCACTGAAACTGGTGAGTTCTACTTTATGTCCCTTGGACTGCCAGGTTTAAATGAGTTACTTTAGCGTTCAGGTTTATATTAACTAGCCAGTTTGCCTTGTTTCTGTTTGCTGCTTTGATTATCACCAACTGATTTGACCAGGTCCAGCACCTGGTGATAGATGACATGCCCTCCAGACTGGCCAAACTGTTTGATGAACAGAAAGACAAAGGTGGCGCCGGTGGACGCTGGGCAACCAGACACCAGAGAAACACACTTGAGCAGGCCTATCTTAGACAGGCAGAGGTCATTCTACTGGATGACAACCCCTTCCAGTTCATCATTGTAAGTTGTCTTTAAATGTTATTTAATTTTGAGTAAAACAAAAATGTTGCTTGATTTACAAGTTGCAGTCACACAGAAATGGCATGAATAGCTTTTAAAGTTAAATTGCAAGTGAATATGAACGAGGCATGGAATAAATTAAATGTTTATATCTTCAATATATCTTTTTAAAAATTACATTTTAGTAACTGATTGGTTCTTATGCTATAGGTATTTTTTATCTCAGAGATTGAGTACATTCAAACTTAAAACTAAAGCAGGAAAAAAAACTTAAATTATCTTATAGAGACAAATCAAATTTTTAAAAATGTAAATATTATGCAAATTAGAAAATAAAAGCAGATGGAAATTTTTAGAAAGGAACTAACAAAACAATGTTTATATCAAATATTGACCATTTCTAAGTGGTACAACAGATACATTTTGTATATGTTAGAATTAAATAAAACAATATTTTAACATCTGGTATAAATATATACAAGCTGTGTATTACACAAATTGCTATAAGGAAAAAATCTATTCAAACTAGTCACCCAAATGTACTGCTAGTTAAGAAATGCTCATGCCAACTAGCAAAACATTTTCTTTAAAATATGAATTCAGATGCAGTGAACTGAACTCACTATTTTATTTTTAAATATTTTATTTGAATAGTTAATACAGTTCAATTTCTACTTACACAATACTATTACTTAGCATGCATACATAAATTGTGCATATTAATAAATAATAAAGTAAAATTTGTTTTAAGCTAGAAAAAAAATTCCTCAGGATGTTATCATATATACTTGTAAAAATATTTGTCTTGTTTCTTTAACTTGCCATACAGAGAAGCTTAACAGCGCAAATGGAAATAGATATGCTAGACCCTCCACCAGAGTCCAATGACTCTGTGAAAGAAACAAGTGCCTGGTCCTCTTATTTACATGAGTACTCTGCTACCAAAAAGAATGAAGAGTTCATCCATAGAGTTGGCCACAGTAGACCAATCTATCTCATCAGGTATGTCATTTGTCTTGTAGTTAGTGTGACTATGAGTGTGTTGGGGGGGGGATGTCTGATGTGCCACAGAAAAATACAATTTAATCTTACAATACCCTATTTGAACTGACTCGCAACCTGCTTTATCTGGCACAGCTAATAAACTTCTGACTTGAACTAACTCAGCTAGTGACTGAAAGTATAGAGAAAGTCTACAAGAAAACCTTACTTTAGTCCTTATAAATTTCCTTATAATTTCGATTTTTTAATTCCTTGGGGGTCGCGGGTCACTTAATTTTTGTTAAAGGGGGTCACCACTCAAAGTTTGGTAACCACTGATCTATCACATCACTTTTGGTCAGCTGACCCTAATTTACAAGCAAATACTCATCACTATAACTCTTCACATACTCTAAGCCACACATAGAGCATGTTGATTGAGATTAACTATACTCAACAAATTAAAGAACTTGTGATTTATTGGTAGGCCAAAGTCTCTTTATACCATCAACTGTTTTTTTTTAAAGAGTTACCAGTTATTATAATTGGTAAGATAGAGCTATAATGTTTCTGTTGTAAAATAAACTCTGTGATTCTGACAATCAGTTGTATTGATCATCTACCTTTAGTTTCTCAGTTGAGAACAAAACATCTTTAGCCATCTCAGATACCCACATAAAGGTGATGCTAGTTGTAGAAAAAATGTATTGCGTTTGAAATATATTTAATATTTGTTTCTACAGAAACAAAAAGAGGAACCCTGACTGGGATGACTTTAAAAAGCATCATAAAATCAAACAGGAAATGGAAGATGAAGATGAGGAAGATGCTGAGGGAAATAAGAGAGGAGAGAAAGGGGATAATAAGGATAAAAGGAAACGAGAGAATGGAGTAAAAGGTACAGTTCAGTTTTTGATATTGAGGAATTCTTGGTTTTTTGCTGTTGGGTTGTTGTTTTTTTGTGGGGTTTATTTTTTTTTTTTTTTTGTATTAAAATAAATGCTGGCTTCTCCATGTCACTACTCAAAAACCGAATCACGAGAGTAATCACCTATTCTAATTAAAATTATTTGGAATAAAAAAAATTTTATTGTTTCTAAAATGCTTTCATTGTTTATAAAAAAATCAGAAAGCCTGAAAGAGAAAGTAGAGAAACAAATATTTGGAATAGGAGATGAGGCAAAACTCAAGGCACCTGCTGAGGCTGGCTCTGAGAAACCTGCGGACAGAGGGGATGAGGATGATGATGAAAATATAGATGATGCTGCAGCCTTAGCCAGGGCCAACAGAACACCCAATGGTGGAGATGATGATGACGATGATGATGATAAAAGAGGAGGCGCAGAGAGCGATGGAGGTTTGGGTGATGACGAGGATGATGATGAGAAGGGCTTGGAAAGTTCAAGTAAAAGGAAAAAAATTGGTGCTTCGCCAGATGGTAATTATTATTTTTTTACACTTGAAAAAAAATTTACAGTCCACTTGTTAAAAACAAAAAAAAAAAAAAGTTTTACTTTTAGAGGATTTAAAACAAATACTCATGGTGGCTTATCTCTCCAAAATATACTTCTCAGTTAGTTAATAATTTAAGTCAAAAGTAAAAATTTTAATCTTTTCTTAAATTGATAAATTTAATATTCTTCTTGCAAAACATGCTGTTCTGGTGATAACAAATTTTTTATTGATTGTTATAAATGGAGACAAATTTAGCTGTAAACTTAAAAACAATTAAGTTGGTAGCAAAAACAATTTTTAATACCTTTCTTATGAAGTTCTAAAGTAAATTTCTTGTTATGTTTCAGGTTTAGCAAGACGTGTCCACAGTGTAGATAACACAAGCATCAAGTTCCCACACAATTCTTACCACCATATGTTTGTCAAGAACACTGGCCAAGTCATGTACAAGCAAGGGCGTTTGGCTCGGACAAATGCTGTAAGACTTATTGCTATCTTATGTAATTTTTCTTTACGGGGTTTTGAAATTTCAATTAATTGCAAATTTCATTGACAGTTATTGATAGTTTTTTTTTCTTTGTATCTTTGCAGTGTCATAAACAAGTGACTCAGAGAAAATATAAGAACATGCAGAACTGGACAGAGCCTTGGCTTAGTCGAAATGTGACCACTGCCCAGGTAGAAGACTGCAAGAGGTGGCTGATGGGTCTGGCCACAGAGAGCAGGTCCAACAACACCTCTGTTGTGGAAATTGAGCAGTACGACAAGACTCCCTACAGAGTCTTCAAGAAATATTCCGTAGACTGGGTGGTCCCGGGGTCAGGACGGACATCGCCGTCTTCTAACAACTGAATCTGATCTCAGGGGCGGATCTGGAATAAAGTACTAGTGGCAAATTTATATGGTTTTATATGTATAAATAATTATATATTTATATATATATATACATACTTGTTGGTAGGAAATTTAGTTAGCATATCCAAAACAGTGTGAACTTGTTTTGGACTATGCGCCTGTTATTTTTTTAATGGGAGGGGGTAACCACCCCACTGCACCTCCCCTGGATCCGCCCATGGTTGACATTTGTTAATGGTAACTGAAACAACTTCTGATCTGGCGAAATCAGAGAAGTGAAAGAATTTATCTACGGCAGTCCATTGTAATGGTTCTACAGTCAATAGACATACTCATGGGCCTACAAGCTCATCATGCAGTGTTTTCATTTGATAAGAAATGTTATGAATCCAAACTGTTGAAATTCTATACATTAGTTTTAAAAGTTATCCAATGTTTAAAGTAAATAAGGCATTTTATTACATAAAATTGTCATGAAATGAATTAGCACATTGTACATATAGTTTTTTAAACTTTAGAGTGGGCCATTAAATACTAAAATTTAATGAAACAAATATCAGTATTTTAAACATTTAGCCGATGCATTTGTTATTCTGTTAACTTCTTTTCTTAAATCTTTCATTAGATCTGATGGTTCTTATTCTGAAGCTATTTATTAACTTTGTAATGTAAACTCTTTTGGTGGGCTAACAGATAAGGTATTAAGTCATTACATTTCCCAGCTTATGGTGTTTAATAGCTTGTAAAGTGTGTGAATAATGAAGTAAAAAAACTTGAATTTAAGCATCTTAAGGGAGCTAAATCTGGGTTTATAAATTTTGATCAAACTTCTACTTATGGCACGTATCCTGGGGAATTTTTTTCTTAAATCTTAGAAAGTTGTATCTGTTATTAAGTTTTAATTTGTTTTTATTAAACAGCAGTTTCTTGGAAAGCACTGCCTCTAGGTATCATAACATGGATTTGTTGATTTTTAAAAAAATCTAATTAACCCTTTCTTGTACAGTTATCCTGGCTCATTTGGATGCCCCATGGTTGAGTAATTTGCCAGAACAAGGGTTAAGACACAATTCAAAATTTTTTCAAAACAAATATCTTCCTCACTTTCAACTTATTAAGCTTAGCTTTTTTTTTTAAACTGTCTATAATGTTGATTATGTTTTAGCAACTGTATATTGGTTTACGCTCTCATCAAAGTACATATTCTGAATTATTTTTTGTCTATTGCGCTAAAGCTGAGATACAAAACCATTGTACAAAACAAAGAAAGATGCTTGGTGGTATATTTTAGTGGCATTTCTGCTACTGGAAGTATTGCCTAGATGTAAAATTTGTTCATAAACTAGAAAATACATTTAATTATCAATGTCAAACTGGGGAGGGCTGAGAAATTTTTTAAATCATCTTTCTTTACATTAAATATATAAATAGCAATCCAAAATCTGTTACATTTTCTACACAGTAATTTTTTCTATTCTTGAAATACCCATCTTCTACTATCATCACTGTTCTAATGTGGCAACTATATTTTATACATTTGTGAATAACCTGATCTAAAACATTTATTTATCATTGTTTCTTCTATAAGGTCATTTTTTTTGTTTTTATGAACATTTATATGTACATTTATCCTAACAGTGGTTCCCTGGTGTAGCTGTTCCCATGACTTAAATTAGGTCATTTTAGCAATTTCATTTACTTTTTCAAGTCATTGGACTGAATATATTTTATAAATAAAATAAAAAATACTATAAATGTACTGCACTTTGGGAATCACTGTTACATTTTAAAATGCCTAACATTTATCATTATAGCAAAGTAAATTTTATGCTGCGATGGTATTTAGACTATTTAATCTAAAATCACTATTGGGAATTGTTTTGTTTTGCTTTAAGTGTTTTATTTTTGTAAGTACATTTATCTGCATTCTGTTCTTCATATTTGATGATCACCATACTTAGCTCATTCATGTTTTTTTTTCCTCCTTAAATTTAAACATGTATTTAAAATGACACTGTACAAATTCATGATACATTTTTCTCAATATGATTTACTGTTAAAATGTTTGTTATTTGTGTGTCTTTTGTCATCATAATAGATTTAGTCTGAAACATAAAATAAAAATGTCACCATTTATTTTCTTGGGTTTTTTTTTCCATACTGCTGTTTTTGTTGAATGGTCCAAATATCTGTTCCATTATTCACATTGTCAACTTATTTACAGTCAAATTAACAAATCTGTCAAACCCTTAAAGCTTGAAGTTAAATAATAGTAATATCTTGGCATTGTGAGAGATAATATTGGGTACTGCTCCGAAAGCCCAAAAATCTTCCCATGATGGATTCCTTAGGATTGTTAATGATTAATAGTCAAAGAAAGAAACATAATTGAATAAGATAATTTATTTTTTTACAGATAAAATTGGATAAGCAAAAATTACATTCAATGTCACTGATAAAATGTCTTTCAAAAACTAAAACCTATGCATTTAATATTTGTCTTACAATAGGTAATTTACACCAACTGAAAAAAAAAAGTTTTTATAAATCTTGTATACAGTAACTTCATAAAAATCTTGATAGCCTCAGTAAGTTTTGTGTTTAGTGGGCATAGAGGTGTTTACTGTAGGACTCAAGCTCTTCCTGGTTGACTTCTCTAAAAGCTTTCAACATCACATCCATCCTGTCTAGCGTATCTCCTAGTATGTTGTAAACCTACAAGTTTTATGTGAGAAAAAAGATATTTCATGCACTACAGTGATGATTTACATGAATTATTTAGTTCTATACTCAAAAGCAAATATAGAAAACTTTATATTTCAGTTGGTTTTATTTTTATTTAATTGTTTTTTAAATTTTGAAGAATTTGGAATGAGTAGTATTGGTAAAGAATGAAAAATTTGATATTTTCACACAAAAAATTGATATTAAGGATTACATGCCAGCTTTTAAAAGTTTTTACAAAAGTATAACATTAGGCTTTGGCTCTATAATTACCTTTGTTTTTTATTTATTTTTTCATTAAATATATTATTTTCTTAAATGTTTCACCAAATTTAATTTGATCATTCTTCAAAACTAATTTTACATTAATTTATATAATATAATATCCCTGAAAAAGTCCTCAAAAATTGCCTTAAAGACAGTTTTATGGGAAACTGATAAAAACTGTGATAAAATACCAAAAAATATTTTTAAAATCTTTAAGAAATGGAAAGATTTACCTGGGAAGCAAAAATTTCTTTATACAGTTTCTCTACTGGAGATAACTCTGCAACAGCAGGTGTTCCATTGGCAGGAATGGGGTCAAGGTTTCCACCAGGGGGCGTCCCCGGTACTGCTTGAGGTGTCTGAGGTGGGGCTTGTGCTGGTGGGGTTACTTTAACAGGTGTTTGAGCTTTCTTTCCAGGTGGTGCAGGTGATGGTGGGGTTTTACCTTTAGGGTCAGTTTTCCCAGTCTGAGGACAAGATTCTTAGAGTTAATTTTCATATTTTTTCTTTGGTATTTTTATTATTTAGAGGTATGCTTTTGAACAGCCAGGTACCCATTAAAGTTGGGTAGATTCAGATATGTTCTAAGGACTCAGGTCCAGGATTGAACTTTCATTGAGCACTTAACCAGGACAGAATTTGAAATGCCATGTCAAACAAAAATGACTTCAAATTTTTCATGCTATTATTTCACACTGTTATGAGAAGCATGGTAGGATGTTGAAACATGGCTATGGAAAACCATACTAACAATGATGTAGGCATTGCAGGTTTAGGGGAAGGGGTATAAACCCCTAAATTATTAAATTAAACGTTAAGTTATTTGTCTGTGGTCCCTTTTTTACAAAATGTTGACTTACAGGTGTTTTAGAAGTTTTCACATCTTTTCCTGCTGCTTTACCTTGTGAGGCCTTGCTAGAACCCTTTTTACGACCATCATCTGGCAACCAAGTGTTAAAAGTTTATTCTCGTTTCATATAATCATGCGAGGACATTACAGTAATTATATATTATTTTACCAAGAATATTATATGGGATTTAAGAACATAAACAACAGTAGGCCTAGTTTATAATTCTAAAAAACAATCTTTTAATTAAGTAATTATAGCGAAGAAAAATGGAATGCTTAATATTGCTGATGCTAAATATTGGATAATGCTGAATAGTGGATAAAATACAAACATTGGTAGCTTAATAGAAAGCAGTGTTATATTTTAACTAAAGGTTGCAAATAATTAAAGGAAAAATATTTGGCAAATATACTGAAAAATAAATAGAAATACAAACCAAAAAAGTGGACTACATAAATTACATTAAAAAAATATTTAAATGAAAATTAGTAGATTTTTAAATTCACATAACTATTAAATCCATTGATAATAATTACTGATTAACATGTGTTTTATACAAATTATAATAATGTATTTTATTTACAACACTACTCTTTAAGAAATAGTTTCCGCCTGTTTTAGCAAGTGCAGTGTTTTATAAAACCATACGTGAGACAAAAATATAATAAATGTTGATAAAATACAACACCAGTATTAAAGCAGCTTCAGTTCTGGTTGTTGTATTTTGTGCTCAAGTGTTAATAAACATTTAAAAAACATGAAAGAAGTGAACTCACTCTTTCTCAGACGTTCTGTTTTTAAAATGTTAAGAAAATTGAAAGATTGGCTTAGTTATGTTATAAGCATTTACTCAAGTTGTTTTACATAGTACTGTTTCACTAAAGAAAACTGAACAATAAATTCTATAAAAGGAAAAGAATGGATTACATATACAATACTGTTAAGCTATAAGTAACCTATTGTTTTATTTAAGTAAAGTTTTGAAATTATATAAATCTGCTAATGAAATATAGATCTTAATACTTTGAAGAAATATAGGTGTATTTGAGTCAACTTAAATTATTAATGTGGTTAACGAAATTATTTTTTTTTAAATAAACTTTGAATAAAGATGTTTTAATACATATACTTTTACTATGTAAAACCTTTATAAAGTAATAAATGTTGCTATTTTTAAGCAATTCCAACTGAAGTAGCAATACACACAGGATAAAATTTTGGATAGTTGATAGATTATAGCAGGAAATTTTGGAGGAAAATGTTATTAGCAGACGAGATAGAAAAAAAAGCAGGAAAGAAATAAATTCTAAGAATATTTCATGAAATTCTGATTTAGGTTGGGTTAGTTTTGGGATAATATTAAGGATATTTGATTTTCTACTTTTGATTAAGGAGAGCTACTTTTTTTTAAAGGAAGTTTAGAGTTATCTCTAGCTAGCCTGTTCTACAGATCCTACCAGCAGGTGGTGGAGGTGGATTATTATCTTCATGTAAATGATCTGGATTAGCTCCACTTGGTGTTTGAACTACTCGCAGAAATACAGCATATTTATGAACAATATTTTAAAATATGTTATAAACTGTAAAGTTCTTACGTCAATAGTTTATTTTATTTTAACAATAAATGATTTTTAATTATTCAAGTGTACAGTGTAAATAATTATTCAAAACAGAGTAGAGAAAATTGAACACTGTTAAGCATTTAGTTGGCATCATGCATTTTTAAAAAGTGAATTCAGTGCCAAACAACAACGCACATTCAAACTTTTGCAATTAGCTTCACTTAATTGATTTTATCTTCGCAGTTAAAGTAACCAGATACATTTTTACAGCACAGAGTGTAAAATATGAAAGTTAAACGAGTCTTCTTACTTCCATCTTTGCCTGTGTCATCCTCTCTACCTGGGAGTCCCAGGGTTTGTCTCAAATGTGAAGACTCTTTAACTATTTTATCTATAGCTTCCTGGAGAATCCGATATCTGAAAACATTACATTAATGTAGGCCTTCGTTTATCTATGTTTCTTAATCTTCTAAATTTTTTTATAGGCCCTACTTTAAAATATTTTTTATACCCTATGCCGTAGGTCTGTTGAGGGAGCGGCTTTGCTGGAATGTAAGTTAATTTTCCAACGATTAAGTTCATCTGCTGCAATAAATTCTCTCTTTTCTCATCATCCTCTAATTCCATAACACTCTGGGGAGGAAAATTGTCCATTAGAACCTATAAACTGTATTAATGAAACATGTTGTAGGCCTACGCATTTGGTTTAACAAAGTATAGGAAAGAACAATAACTCATATGCTTTGAGTTATGTTTCTTGTTCAAAATTCTGCTTTACTCACAAAGTATATGAGATGTGAGTTGAAGTCCCAGTTTTTAATCACTAGTTGGGCCATATGAAATTATGCTTAATCTATAAAGAATTTTTATTTTTAGCAGTGGAATACTTTGTTTTTAATAACTTTTTGGGTCATACGAAAAATTATGGGTAATCTTTAATTAAATTTTTTTTTTAAAAGAGGAATAATTATTTTAATGGATTAAAAAAAAACTTCGATTATCAAGATAATCATATTTTACAGGTCTTTATGTTTTACAAAAAAACAAATGTGTATCCCCACACATTTTTAAGCAGTCAGAAAAAACAAACCTCTTGTAGATCTGCTATGCTTAAACTCCAAACATTTTCAGCACGGAGCTCTTCATCAAACAGCTGGCTATAAATATCTTTCAGTTGTGAAACAAGCTCGTGAGAGTATTGCAACTGGTAAAGTAAATGTGATTATTCTTTAGATTATGTAATCAATTTAGTGGTTCAAAAAGGGTTCTCATTACAAATTATAAATACTAAATAACTATAAAGTTGTAAATTAATAAAATGTTGACACAATTTGCTTCAGTGTTCTTTAATTTGATGTGTTTTTCTGTTTTTAATGTAACTTATCGTTTATTCTATTGAGGATCTATTTAAATTTAAACATAATATTTGTTTCCTAAAGAATTTAAACACTTTTTATTTTTTTATTTTTCATTTAATTATTTTCTTTATAAAATTCCTTACTGCTGGGTTGTTGCGGCTGAATATTTCCTCCTCAGTAATGTAGGCATCAACAGGAGACCGTGACCTTTCTGGAGTTCTGATGCCATTCACTAACTCATACAGGATACGCTTGACTGCCTCATTGGCTTGTCTTTCAAGCAATTCTTTCTAAATTTCAGAAAATTCAAGTCTTAGCATCATAAATGTTTTGCCTCAACATTAAAAAATATAAGTAAAAAAATGTAATCTCGAAACAATAAATTTAAAATATTTATTAAATTATTATTCAATCAAGTTATTTATAATTAATTAGTAACATTAAATAATTCTGTACTTCTAATTTTTCCCTTTGCTCCTTATACTTGTCTTCTTGTATAGCAACACCACGTAGGGTAACCAACAATGCTGCCCCTCCACATAAAGATGGACGAGTTTCTAAAAAAGTTGGCCATTAAGTATTCAATTACAAATACCAATTTGAGCATTTTTTGTAAAAAAAAATTCTAATATTTCCTTTTTTAATATATTTACATAGATTTAATTTAAATTATTATCTCATTTTTACTAATCCTATTCTTCTAAAATTTTAAAGCATAAATATTTAACTCTGAAGAATAAAACAAATACCAAATTTCCATTGTTCTGTATAAACCCCTGGAGTAGGCGACTTGAAAACAAATGGGAATTTAAAAGATTCCCCAGGTAATATTACACCTGCAGAATTATTTTTTATTAATATTACAATTACTTGAATGTTGTAATTTATATTATTAAAAAAACAGATATTGTTAAACCCAAACATTAACTTACATATAAAAGCTTCATAGATAGCCTACTGCATAAACTTTAGGAGATAAATCTCAACAGGCCATTTATAAGTTTTATACAAGTAAAGAATTAAGATTTTTAACTTTTTAAAATTGTTCATCAACATACCTGAAGCAGTGTTGAAGTAAAACCTTTGAACTTCATTTTGAACAAAAGCAAATGGGTTCTCTTTCCCTACTTTCTATTTAAAAAATTAAAAATGAAAATGTAATATGAAAATCAAATTAGGTCTATTTACGGAAATAAATATTTTAAAGGGAGAAATAATCACTTTAAATTATTTTTGTGAAAGTCACACAGCATACAAATTAAAAGAAATACAAAACAATGAATGTTGCTGGGTTGGATCAAAACTGGTGAAACAAACCTTCCAGTCATAGTAAATGACAGTGGTTCCATTATTGTGGAGCTCCAGAAGGGAAGTCACCCTGTCACATGTGAAGCCTTCAAAGGTTACCCTGGCTTCAATGGCTGTCTAGAAGATGAAAAAAAAGACGAGTTTTAATTTTTCATAATTGTAGAATCCAAGTGATAGTTATCACATATTTGAACTAAGACAATAAATGCTTTTGTAATCAAGAAATATTAACTTGTTGTTTATTTAAAATGGCCTTATTATGTGGAAAAGTACAGTTATGCTATAGTTAATTTATATTAATAGAGATATTTAAAAAATTATATATCAATATTTTTAAAAATACCAATGACATCTAAATAAAAAAATTTTAAATAGTTACAAAAATACTTCTGTTTTTGTATTTTTTTTATATTTAAATGTATAAATTGATATAATTCTTACTTTATTCTTCAATGAGCTACTGTCTCCAATCCACCTTGCAGGCTGACCAGCAAACAAAAGAGAAGGGCCAAAAACTGTTTGCAAACTTTCATCTTGACCAGAAGAGTTATCTTCCATACTGCAAATAATTTGTTGTTTACTTTAGTTTAGATCATTATTACATTTGTAGTTAAGACTACTTTTTTGAAAAATAAAGCATTTTACTTTTAAAATTAGATAGATTGTACAATTTTAAAAATCTTCTAGATTAATAAAATTAATATTAACTTTTTTGTTATTTTATTTTTAAAATTGATTAACCTTTCCTGATTTTTATCACTGTCTCCTTCTGTTTCTTGCTTTGAGCTTTCTAAAAATGTGTCAGTTTCACTGGAGTCTTGTTCAGACTTCTCTTCCTCCATAGACTTTTCATACGGCTTGTTGCTGCCCACTATTTGCAGGTATTCAAACTCCTGTACATCATTTTAAAAATATATTTAATAACGACAACAGTCTATAATGACAAGTAGTTATCTGAAAGGCATATCTGTTTTGGAGAAAAAATATTTTGTACTAGCTATTATACTCAAGGTTTTGCAAGATTGAAATACTCTCTAAACTGTCATGATGTAATTTAGTTTGTTTACATGCTCATCATGGAATAGGTGTTAAAAGTATGCTGCACTGTGTGAACCATGACACAGATATCTTCTAAGCCAGTTAGAGTTTTTACCCCACTGATCTGCTTAGTATCTTAGACTAAGGACGTTGCTGGCTTAACAGTATATAACTTAGCTGGTAGGAACTGAGTTTTACTATCTATCACATTTAGACCGGAGTGTAAGTATAATAAACAATAGGGTCACTGGGTTGGGTGATACATGCAGTGCAGTAACCCAGTGTGTCACCCTTCTATACCAATTACTACATATATGATATAATATTTGGTATCATCTACATTCCAGGTGGTGTCCCCCTGTACCTAATGATGTATAAACTTTTAATACCTTAGCTAAGAGGTAAATGTTAATTAAAAACACATACAGGTTTCCAAGGGTCAAGCTCCTGGATGTAAGGCTGCAACTGCTGGAGTCTCTGGTTGAGAAACTCTGACTTGTGCCAGGGATAGTTCACATGGGAATTTTTCTTTCCAAGCCACTCACAACCTGTACAGTGGAAGGCAAAAACGTGAGTGGTTGTTATTTTTAATTCAAGTTTTTATGTTTGATGCCTGCTTTTATCAGTAGTCAGTTTTATACTGTCAGTTTTTTTGTTTTTTTTTTTAAATTAATTTTTTACTTTTATATTGTTTAAATGTTGACCATAGATTCTTATCTTCAATTATAATACAACAAAATCTCAGTAGCAAGATATTCAGTGTCAAGGTACAGATGATAATGTCAGTTCAATTAAATATTTTTAAATTCTGAATTTTTTCTATTTTATTTCTCTATATGTTGTTGATTAGAATCAGCATTAGTTAATTTGATATGGATAATAGCTTTTTTTTGTTTCGATAACATTGCTAATTTTTCCATTATTTTTCAAATAACTGTTTATAATTTCGTGTCACCCCAACACCAGATATACTTGCCCTGTTGACATAATCAAGATGTTGTATCACTTACCTTTCTCTGCCTTCCCTAGCTGTGATAGACCCACATGTTCCACTGGGGGTGGGTAGCCTCTTTGAGCTTGAGTTAAAGACATGCTGAAATAAAAATAATATCAATATAAGTAAATGAAAGTGCTTATCATTGTTTTCTAATTGTTAATAGATGTTGCTTTAAAAAAAATGTGATTGGCACTAGAGGGTTGAGACAAATATTGTAAATAAATCTACATATCAAGAAAAGCATAACCCTTTTCTCATTAAATCAACTTTAGTTCTGAACACTTTAAAATTTGAAAACATAAAGTTTGGGCAATTTTGTTTAAGTCTTAAATGTTGTTAAAAATATAACATAATTAAATTACTAATATATTTAAGTTGTTATTTTACTTGGATAAAGACTTACTGAATGCCATTATTTTCATCACCCAACAGTCTTTGTTGATTCCAGAATTCACTTCCAATTCGATCTGAAAATAAATTGTTACTGATATGATTGATAGTTGGGTTAGGATATACTACAACAACTAAAAGTGATATGTGTTCATAAATAACAAGTAAATTCAACCTTTCAATTCATTACAAGTGTTTCATTTTTTAAATGTTGAATTATAAGTGCTGACTGTATTTCACGACATTTAGTGTTGACAAAACCTGAGCTTTATTGTTGGCTGTAAGGGTTTACTCTGTAGAAAATCATACTTGTATAGCTAGTCAGTACCACTGAAATTGATTTCTTAAATGCTAAAGTTTAATCCTAACTTTAAGGTGATAATTAGGTGATAAAAATCTACTACACAGCTATTCAACATAAGTTGAATAAAGAACTAACAAATCAAACCAAACAACTAGAGCAGTAGCTTACATCCTTTGCCATAATCCACCTTAGGGAGGGTCCTGTCTATGAGGTACCTCTGCTCTTGAATGGCCCTGTAGTTGTCTGCCTGGTTCATGGCCAAATCTTCTACTGGTTTCTGGAGCAGCTCTCGACAAAAATAAACACTTTATGACCTGGGTGTTCTTCACATTACATGGAATTTTGGTTTAGTATCAGAGCCATAGTAAGTAAAGTAAAGTTTCCTTTCAAACCTGACGGTTTATGGGGCAAGTGAAGTAGAGTTCACTTGTTTCTGTGACCTTCGGCATATGAAGAGATAATGTGGTCAGCACTAAGCCCAGCCGCCTTTACTTTCCCTAACGTAAGTCAGGTACCCATCAGAGTTGGGTGGAGTCAGGGACGGTCTATTGACATGAACCAGGATTCAAACTCGAGACTTATGGGTTATCGGAGCCATGACTTGGAGTATTTTGGTAAAGGAAAATAGGCCAACAAAACTGAAGGTATGACAATAAAATGTGAAACAGAATAAATGGGAAGCTTTTATTAGTGTTACATCTCCTGGTGGCAGGCTAACTGAATTTTTCTCATTTATTTTTTACATGTTAGCTGAAGTTAGCCGTCATGTAGTTCAGCTCTTTTATGTAAATTACCTATAAGCTACTTTCAAATGTGTAAACTGAATTAAGGGTTTTTAATGCAATTTTTTTTTATTTGTTAGGGTATGTCATACTTGAGATGTGAATCTGTTGTAGTTTTCTTTCGTTCATTTTCTGGTTCCAATTATTGATGGCATTGTTTTCATCATGAGTCAGCTTTACAGTTTTTTTCTTCTTTTCATACTTGACAGATGGTGTATCCAGTCTTCTGTCTGTTTCTTTTGGAACAGGCATTATCTAGACAACAATTATAAAACTAGTTAATAGTTAAATATTAAAAGCTACTTTTTGTTCTTTGTTATAAGCATTAGTATTGCAAAAGAATTTACCATAAAGAAACAACTCCAACTAAAATTTCAAAAGCTACAGGTTTTAATTTCTAAAATATTTAAATTCTATGGTTATTACAATTTTTTTCTTTTAAATATTGAAAACTTTTAGTTAAAATAAACTGCTTTAACATTATAAATTTAACACTTAAATGAAAATAAACTCATAAATAAATACAAAAGTAACAATTTCAAACAGATAAATAAAGAAAATAATTTTAAAACTAATCAAATAACTGTTTTGTTTTCTTAACCCAGCAGAACAAAATAAATTTTCAAAATATATACTGACCTAGCTGTTAATCTGTAATTGTTTCAGATACACTAAATTCAAAATTCTATCTAATTTCAGTGGCATAAACAAAAAACATTTGAGAAAAAATGTATTTTTTTTTCAAATCCCATAAACAAAACAATAATGGCTAAAAAGTACAGGTGATCTATAGTATATTGAAATTAAACATCATTGCTTGCAATTTTCTATCTATATTTTATAAATTTCTTAAATTTTAAAAATTTGCCTTTTATTTAAGCAGTGTTTTGTACAGGAAATGTGAATGGAAAAAGAAATTACCTACACATTCAAGAAATTAAGATCATTATTTTTTTACAGTTAAAATTACATGCCAGCAATAGTATCAAGAAAACAAGAGAAAGAAGCCATAGGAATTTGCAGAGTCCACTCTGATGTGTATTTGTTGTCAGGTAAAGTTTGGTGACTTTTTATAAAGCTAACCACAGCCATTTCCATTTGGCGAGGCTAAAAAACATGAACTCTACTTCATCTGCAATATGGCTCTGAAAGGGAACTTTTTTACCAAGGAAACAGAAACATTCCCATTTAGTGTCAACTTACATCAAGTAAATCTCCCCTTCTGACTGCCTCGCGATGATATTCTTCATACGTCCCCAAAAGGCTGTGATTGATGACGTTACCTTTTTCATCATAACGAGGGCCTGCATACCCTGTAAGTAAAAACCATATTTATTGAGGAACTGCATTCATTACTAGTAAAAACCATGTTTAATGAGGACCTGCATACCCTGCAAGTAAAGACCATATTTATTAAGGACCTGCATACCCTACAAGTAAAAACCATATTTATTGAGGACCTGCATACCCTACAAGTAAAAACCATATTTATTGAGTACCTACATATGCCATAAGTAAAAACCATGTTTAATGAGGGCCTGCATATGCCGCAAATAAAAACCATGTTTAATGAAGAACTGCATACGTTACAAGTAAAAACCATGTTTAATGAGGAACTGCATTCATTACTAGTAAAAACCATGTTTAATGAGGACCGCATACCCTACAAGTAAAAACCATATTTATTGAAGACCTGCATATGCTACAAGTAAAAACCATGTTTAATATAGAACTGCATACGTTACATGTAAAAACCATATTTATTGATGACCTACCTTTGCCATAAGTAAAAACCATGTTTAATGAGGGCCTGCATATGTTACAAGTAAAAACTATGTTTAATGAAGAACTGCATATGTTACAAGTAAAAACCACGTTTAATGAAGAACTGCATATGTTACAAGTAAAAACCATGTTTAACGAGGACCCACCACAAGTAAAAACCATGTTTCATGAAGAACTGCATATGTTACAAGTAAAAACCATGTTTAATGAAGAACTGCATATGTTACAAGTAAAATGTTTTAATGAGGACCCGCCACAAGAAAAACCATGTTTAATGAGAACTGCATACCCTACAAGTAAAAACCATGTTTTGTGGGGAAAAAAATTGTAATTTTCATTGATAATATATTCACAAAGCTATAGTGTATTAAAACAGTGAAAGCATCTTACCTAGGTAATCAGCAGGGCTGATGGGTCTGTTATGTCCACTGGGAGATTTTGGCTTGGGCGGAGTAGCACTGGTAGAGTTTAAAATAAACAAAATGGTCAACTGTTGTTTTCATTCATTAACTATCAAATTATATAAATTATTAGTTGTAGACATAATAATTCTTTCGGCAGCCTCTTATTCATTAATGTTTAAATCTATTAAGAAATCTAAATAATTTTTAGTTTAAAATGTCTGATTGTGGACATGAATACACAACATAATTTTATATTAATGGTATGGAAAAATATTAAGGATGAGCTATCTGTTCACAGTGGTAGGAGTTGTTTGTACACAGTGGGAGGAGCTGTTTGTACACAGTGGGAGGAGCTGTTTGTACACAGTGGGAGGAGTTGTTTGTACACAGTGGGAGGAGCTGTTTGTACACAGTGGGAGGAGCTGTTTGTACACAGTGGGAGGAGCTGTTTGTACACAGTGGTAGGAGCTGTTTGTACACAGTGGGAGGAGTTGTTTGTACACAGTGGTAGGAGCTGTTTGTACACAGTGGTAGGAGTTTTTTGTACACAGTGGTAGGAGCTGTTTGTACACAGTGGGAGGAGCTGTTTGTACACAGTGGTAGGAGTTGTTTGTACACAGTGGGAGGAGTTGTTTGTACACATGTGTCACAGGAGCTGCTTGTCTACAGTGGGAGGAGTTGTTGGTCTATAGTGTGATCAGCTGATGATACAAAAGTGGGAGGAGCTGTCTGTAGACAGTGGGAGGAGCTGTCTGTCTATAGAGGGAGGAGCTGACAGTCCACAGTACAAGGTTATTGCAAAGTTTTTGGGCCATCAGCACATCTAAGTACAAAATAACTAAATAAGTTATAAAATCAGAAAAAAAATTGTCTTACGGTGATCTCCCTTGAAAACTGTCCAGGTTTTTAAAATAAATAACTTCTGCTACTTACGGTTTAGCTTCCTCTGGAACTATTTTCACTTTTTTCACAGGAACTTTTCTGGTCACCATTTTTCTCTCCTCTGGTGGAGGGTGTGGTGGTCGCAACTTAAGAGTAGACAAGTTTTGGGATAACCATGTCAAATATATCAAGACAGTAACTTAAAGAATACTGGTACAAAACTTTGATACAGTCAAAGAAGAAGCTTTTTTAGTAGCAGACGCTAAAATGTATACATCCTTAAAATAAAACAATCAGCAATTTAAACAAATGTTATTGAAAAAGTGTTTTTGGAAAAAAGGTTTTAAAAATTTAAATAAATTTAAATACCTTGATAAGCTCATCCTGTTTAATCTGGAGTTTCTCAATTTCTTCATTCCAGATGACATTTTTAGCTGGTGTCAATCTGTCATCTGAATCTTGTGTGGGCGTGGTTGATTTATCTGGAGTTCCATCCCTTTTTTTCTTCAGTCGATCTGTGAAAAAAATAAATTTAAAAATGGTTGTCTACAAAAGCAATTAAAAAAAGTAGGACTCCCTGATTTGTTGTTGCTTGATCTCATCTCTTAATCTTACAGTGATTATATGTTGGCCTCAGAATATATATACTTTTTTTTAGTTACTGAATAAATGAAGCTTAAAATAACAAATGTCTTACTGGCTATATTAAAGACAGACATCTTTGTGGCTTTTAAAGATGCTGTCTGTAGTTTTGATGCTGCAGAGCCTTTGGTAGACATCTTGTACAAGTTGATTTTTTACTTCTCATTAATTTACATTTGAAGAATAATTATAACAGACAGGTATCTGTTATTTAACTGTTCTTTTCATTTTGGCAATAAATATATTCATGCATGAACTTTGTTTATTTACTATGTAGTCTAATAGTATTTATGCATAAATAATATTAAATATTATAATTTATTTTTGAATTATTATGATTATGATAGAAAAGTTATTTAAACACAATCATGCATAGTGTGATTCATTTTGACCAAGCTGTTTATTTAGAGAAGCTTAGTACTTTTAATTCAAATATTTATACAATTTTAATAGTTGATTATCATTGACACAATGAGCCTACAAATTTTTTTTCGTATTTTATTTAAATTAGATAACTGCCTTTAGAATATAGAAATACATTAAATATAAAAACAATAACGATAACTCCGTGATTACTGCCCTTGGTAAGGTTACCGGCAGTTGCTTCAGCCAAGACAACACATAGGACATTCTCAAATTACCGAGGACAGGAAAACAATAGCTGCATACAATACTGTGGGTTGGGTATCAAATCTAAATTTGCAAATAATCAATTAAAATAACAACCCTCTGCGCGTGCCCTTTAAAGTTTAAGGCAGTACCTATTTTGTTAATAATAATTAATAATATTAATTTAATAATAATGTAATACATCTAAACCAACAAGCCAATTATATCAATTATAATATTAATACAATAGGCCTAATACTAATTAATAATTATTACTTTTATGATTATACTAAATCCCGATTGTTTGTAAAATTTAAAAACCATACAATTCCACACACAAAAAAATCCGATGCTTTGTTGATAAAGTAAAAAATGGGTAGATCTAGAAATCTAGCTTTGTCCTATACTTTATAAATATTTAATTACAAGATCTATATCTTAATGAATTGAAACAGTTGAATAAACAGAAGAAAAACAGTCGGCCATGAATAAACACGATGTGTTCGTCAGACTTATTAAGTTATTATATATAATTATTAATTATAGATCTAGGTTCTAGATCTAGTCTATCCATGGATTTAATGAACAACAATAACAATGAATACGAGTCCACTGCAGTTTGTCTACATCCCCACACAGAATCTAGATTGTATAACAAAAATGTTATTCAAGCACTCGCTCGCTCCAACTTTTTAAAAGCAGTAACGCGGGTAGATTCTAGATCTAGAACATAATACAGCTGTCCAGATTTGGCAGATAGTTATAAGTCAATATAACAATGAAACAGCGGTTCCCGGCTAAGTGTGTGTGTTGCTAAGTGAAGAATATTTACAACCTTTCTTTCTGTTTGTCAAACACGTTAGCTTTTATGGCCATGTGTGTGTTATCTATCCTTTTCCGTACATGACATCAGCATTGTATCGGCGAGTTCGAATTGAATAAACTGACGAGATAGCAAGTCTTCAAAAAGTGAAATATGTAGACTAGGCTACATGGAATCTACTTATGAAATAACACGCTTGGTGTTGTCAGAGTTTCTTCCAGCCCCCCCCCCCCCCCCCCCAAGAAAGTCTTCCTCCCCGAGCGAAATGGAATTTATACAGAAAATATATACTTTACCAGTGACCGCCGCCCCCCCCCCCCCCCCGCCCGTCGGAAAATTTATTCCGCCCCCACCCCTCTAAAAAAATTTAGCCCCCCCCCCCCCCCCCGCGAAAAAAGTCTGAAAGAAACACTGGGTGTTGTCATCCATCCATTTGTAGGAAAAGACATTTGCACTTAGCAAGCGAAAAGAATAATGTATAAGCTAGGCATAGTAAAGAGTCAAAATTTTGTTTTCTTGTGAAATTTAGATGTAGCACACTGAGAGTAACAAAATTAGACTACGTTTGGTAACAGTAGCTAATTATCCGATGTAATCAGCGTGGAGCGTCTATGCATATATAACACTTCTTTTTTAGGAAATAAGTTGCATACCTTAAGTTTTTCGTGCGCGTTTTTTTCTCACTGATGTTGTGTATTTTTTTATTTACTGATATGACAAACTTAACCCTGTTATGTTAGAAAACTCAGCTAGACCTAGCAACGATGCTGATAGAAAAAGGCCACTCTACTTAGCTGGGAAACAAAACAAAGTATTTCTTTCAGCCTTTTTTTTCTCCGTGAGGCACTTGATATTTTAGGGGAGGGGGAGGGGGCGGACTAAAACTTCCGGGGAGGCGGGGGCGGACACTAGTAAAAGTATATGTTTTCTATATAAATTTCATGTCTTCGGGGGGGGGGGGGGTAGACTTTCCGGAAAAGATGCCTGAAGAAACTCTGATAGAACAATCAACATACTTGGGTAAGTAAATGTAGTATTTTAGAACCACTGTTAGAGCAAATAGAAATGTAACCCTGCAGCCGTAAGGTATAGAGCTGGTGTACTGAGGCGGTCGATATGTGGATTCTTGATATGGATTGACTACAACAGACGTCCGTATAGATTTGATAACAACCGCTATGTATTTCAAGTACAGCTCGGGGGGGTTCCATTGTAAGGATTAAGTAGGCTTTGGCGTTTTATTTGTGAGGTAAAGTGGAGGACGTTTGGTGAAGGATATGGGGAGTTGGTGGGTTGAATCAGGTGCGCGTGCTACGGCAGGCAAATAGAAAGAAACAGAAGAATAAACAAAAACAGAAAGGCGAGCGTTCATATAGCGACAAATGTTGTTTTTTTTTACTCAAGGTCTTTTGTAGTAGGCGGCATATTGGCCAGGGCTAAAGTCATACACACAAATGGGAAAAAAAGGAAATTGAATAAGAAAATAAAAGGAGAAAACATGTACTTGGTTCTTTTAAAAATGTATCTGCTCATGAAGGGGAAGCGTCCAAATGGGCCGTTACAAAAGGCCCATCGACCGTATCAAAATGGTTTAGGACAAAAAGGACACGACAAAAGAAAATCGGCTTTAAGACCGCGACGATTAGACACTTAGGCTAATGCCGCGTCAGACAAATAGGCTCCTATCATGTAGGCACGAGACATAACAGTTCCTGTCGTTTAGGCGCCGACAAAAAGGTTCGCGTTAATATGCGATAAAAAAAGCCACCGTCAAAAGGACTTTTTCTAACAAGAACCCCTGACAATAGGCAAGTCCAGTATCAAACTCCTATGACATACTTAAACCCTGTTTAAATATCGGGTGTTTTTAGAAGCTATATCTTCAAGAGCCATACTGGCTCCTATTATAGAGAACATGGTTTATGTGGACCAACTAATCAGGTAGCGTAGCTGATTTATCGAATGCTATGTATATGCCCGTATGTCGGGGGTTTGTTTGTTTGATGACTTTTTTTTTGTCAAGAACCATTTTTTGTGAGACTTTTGGCTGGCCGATATGTCGTGGATATTTTGTGGGTGGGGGAAGGATGAGTTTGTCTTGGGACTTTTTTTTAGTAATATAGACTACACTTCCACAAACGATAACTTACTCAAAAACTTAATAACCTCAACAGCAATCACTTACCCAAACGCATACCCCCGACAACATAACCTTACCCACACACAAAAGTACCTCCCCCAAAAGTAACTTACCCTAAAGATTACCTCCAACAACAGTAACTTACCCAAAAGATTACCTCTTCCAAACAATAACTTACCCAAAAGATTACCTCCACCAAACAATAACTTACCCAAAAGATTACCTCCACCAAACAATAACTTACCCAAAAGATTACCTCCACCAAACAATAACTTACCCTAAAGATTACCTCCACTAAACAATAACTTACCTAAAAGATTACCTCCCCAACGGTAGCTTATCCAAAAATTACCTCCTCCATCAAACAATAACTTACCCAAAAGATTACCTCCAACAACAGTAACTTACCCAAAAGATTACCTCCACCAACAATACTAATTTCAATAACTTACCCAAAAGATTACCTCTTCCAAACAATAACTTACCCAAAAGATTACCTCTTCCAAACAATAACTTACCCAAAAGATTACCTCCAACAACAAACTTCTTTGAAGTTTCTCCAGAAAACATGGAATATCTTCTGCTTTTCTCAAATATTTTAACATTTTGGGGTAGGTTTAGCTCAACCGATGAACTTCGTTTAATATCCATATTAAATTAGGAAGAGCTAATTTTGTAATTTATTAAAATTAATGTTTTAGGTTTAGTTGCATTTTATAAAAAATAAATAACTAAAATTCCACACAGAAATATATATTTTAAATAGTTTAAAGACTCCCTTTTCACTTTTGTATAAAAAATAAAATAATGTTTATCAGAATTTTTAAATAGTTTTAATTAAAATTAAATGTTCTAGAACTTATTAATTAAAAACAGTTTTTAAAAGTTTTTACATATAATTATTTAAAAAGGTAACAGTACTAATAGCGTATCTGTGTACCTCTTAATTAAGTCAACTTTATTTTGTACTTAAAAACTTTTTTTGAAAAACAACAAACATTTCCTGATAGTTGACTAAATTTTTAGACTATACAAAAGGCCAAACAGAATCTATCCATTAATTTAACTGCACTGAAACAAATAGAAATCTAGAGTCACTGAAATCTGTGTTGAATTAACAGACAACTGTAACGGCATTGTCTGCAATTACTGGGACCTTATCAGGGTCCCCTCTAGAACCGCCCCACCTCCCTTAACCCAAAAGAGAGAAAAAATTTCACCAGGTAATTTCCTTATTTCTTTTTAATTTCTTCCTGAGCAATTGTAATCTGAATGAAAACAATAGCTAGGTCTAACCTGTGCAAGCTTGCTTCAATAAAGAAAGAAGGTTTCTTTTTTTTTTCTCTAAAGAGGTGTTAGATTTCAAGGCATATTAAAATTGTGCAGTGTGAGAAAGTAATTAAAAGATAAAAGACTGAATAATGAAGTGGTATTGTGCTGAAGTCTTTAGATGTTTAAAATATGTTTTGAAATTTATAATTTTGGACATAAAAATATTGTAGGTATATGGAAAGAGATCGAGGAAAGGGGGATTCACATGAGTCCAGAAAATTGATTAGAAAAGGGGATCAAAGAATTTGTTTTAGACTTTGTGTAATGCAGGGTGTATTGGAAACTATAACTATATGTTTAAGGAGAACAAAGTGAACTGGCAATGGTGTGCTAGAAAGTCTTTTGTTTACACAGTTAATGGGAGGGGGCGCTTTTATGGAAGGTCTTATTGATGGAGGTAGCTCTTTTGTGATGCACCATTTTGACATGGTCCTTGTTTGACCAGTTCAATTTGTCACATGACCTTTTTGACTATTCATATTTATGGATTATAATAAATGCACTGTAAGAAGAAATGCATAAAAACATTTTAGTAACAAGCTTTTATGTAATAATGCACTATAAAAGAAAAAATAAATGATTTTCCTTAATTATATTGTTTTGTATCTTTTGTCAAAAAATGTTTACCCCTTAAAATAGTAACATTGAGCCTGTGTGGTTGAGCACATGACTGCTAGTCTTAAAGTTGTGAGTTTAAACCCAACCTACAGTCAGTAGGAAGTCCCTGAGTCCACCCAGCTCTCATGAATACCTGACTTCCATTAGGGTTAGGTAAAGATGGCTGGGCATAGAGCTGACTGACCACACTATCTCTTTATAGGCTCAGATTTTCAGAAACAGATTAAATTTACATTTGAGAGAGGAATAGCACCATTGTTTTATTCAACACTACACTTTAAATATCTGATCCACCTTTTTTAGTTTACTCATTGCAAACTGACTAAGGTAGATAACTCATTTTATGTTGTAAGACTTTTCATAAATTAAATTTTTATGGTAACAGCCTTAAATATAAAAATGGCTAAATCTAGATAAGTTATGATTTTTATTAAACACAGAAATCATTTCTATGCACATGTGACCTACTTAGGTCGAGTCAGGTTCTATTTTTATTTTGACATTGTATAATTCCTTATATGGAGTGATTGTGCAACAACCGGAAAATTTCCACTGACTTATTAAGGAGTCTAAGATATAGAAATTTTCCATTAAGATCTGATTGAATGATTCTGGTCAGATGACTATCCCAACCAATGGCTACATGAGTTGAGGATAATCTCCCCTGTTGCAGAAGTCTTTAATTGCCCCGCACACTCGCAACACGAGGCAGTCTAC